AAAAAATTTTGTTTCAGAAACCCAACTATTAGTTGCCTGCCTTGTCTCTAAATAAGGAAAGGTTTCCAGCTGTGTGCAGTGGGGCTCGGGTACTGTGCTGATCCAGGAAAAATATCTGTGGCTGCTGGAGCCCAGCACATTTTCTTACTGACACTTTGAGGCATAGGGATCATCTCTAGCTCCTGACTCCATCCCCTGTGCACCCCCAGGCTGGCTTCTTCCAGCGAAATCGGCCACCCCTGGAAGAAGATGAAGAGGAGTGAAGCCCAGCCCAGTGCTGTTCTGACTGTGTGTGGTGCCTGCTTTGCCTCATCTCCAGCTTGCTCCCTAGGTCTGACCTCTACGGGTTGGAGCTGTTCCATGTTGGCCTTTTGGTGTCCCTCCTCTTCCAACAGAGTAGGATCACATCCTTTCATGTTGCCTAATAAAGACATTGACCCCCAAAACCTAGTGAGCTGCCTCCTCTTGGGTCCAAGAAAGAGAGGAGAAGTGGAGAGATATTTGTATATCTCTCTGGGGACCAGAGCTGATAGAAGTCTGAGCGAGAGTGTCTCTGCCAGGACAGATGTTACAAATTACTGTCAAGGAGCAGAGTGGGGGCAGCAGATATGAGAGAGATGGGGTGGCAGGGGAGGGTAAGGTGTCTGCAGGTGTATGTGGGAGTGGGGGTTGGGAGAGGCAGAGAAGGAAGGCTGGGTGCCTGGTGGGTAGATTTAAACAGAATATTTTTCATGATTTTGAAGAGATAAATCTAAAATGCTCTGAGGCTTGGGAAAAATAACATGATCTCCTGGCCTCTCTCCACCCCTCAAAAAAAAAAAAAAAAGCCTATAAAACTGTGCTCAGAGTGAGGAGGGCAGAGGGAGGCTGATAGAGCTCTCAGCCTGAGGAGGGCAGTGTCACACCAAAGGAGGACAGCAAGGATTGTACCTACCCCCAAACCTTGCTACTACCACCCTGATGCTGTTCCTTCCTCCCCACTGATAAGAAGAGTCTTCTGATAATAAGGGGGTGAGGAGTGATAGACAACTTTCCAACTGATTCATGTGTTCCATAAATATTGAGCACCTACCATGTGCCTTGGACTATTCCAGTGCTGGGATTAAGTAATGAATACAATCCTTGCCCTCATGGAACTCGAATTCAAGTGGAGAAAGAATAAAGCAAGAAGCCAGGCCCAGTGGCGCATGCCTGTGATCCCAGCAGCTTGGGAGGCTGAGGGAGGAGGCTCAAGAATTCAAAGCCAGTCTTAGCAAAAGCGAGATGCTAAGCAACTCCATGAGACCTTGTCTCTAAACCAAACACAAAAATGGGCTGAGGATGTGGCTTAGTGTTGAGTACTCCTGAGTTCAATCCCCAGTACCCTCCGCCCCAAAAAATAAAGCAAGAATTAAGGGCTTGGATTGTGGCTCAGTGGTAGAGCGCTCGCCTAGCATGGGCGGGGGACCCAGGTTCCATCCTCGGCACCACATAAAAATAAAGGCATTGTGTTGTGTCCATCTACACCAAAAAATAAGTATTAAAAAAAAAAGAAAGAAATACAGTTGTGCATGGTGGAACATGCCTGTGATCCCAGCCACTTGGGAGGCTGAGGCAGAGGGATTGCAAGTTCAAGGACAGTCTTAGCAATTTAGCAAGATCCTGTCTCAAAAATATAAAATAAAAAGTCTGGGATTACTTCAGTAGTAGAGCACCCCTGGGTTTAATCCAAGTACCACACACAAAAAAAAAGAAAAAAATAGATAAATGTGTCAGTGGTGGTCAGCTATGGGTGAAAATAAAGGAAAGGAGATAGTGATAGAACACCCGTGGGGTTTGAGAGGAGAATGGTCAGGGAAGGTGTCTTTGATGAGGTGAGCGGAGAGGGATGAATAATGCATGTGACATGGAGATGGTGTTCTGGCAGAAAGAGCAGCCAGTGAGAAGGCCCTGAGGAACAGATTGTGTGTGTTCCAACAAAAGTAAGGAGGTCAGCTGGGTGGAAGGTCCAGGAGAGGAGGTCGGAGAGGTAGGGAAGGGCAGGCAGGTAGGCACAGCTTGCCGCCATGGGTTGAACTTTGGACTTGATTCTAAGTGGTGGGGGAAGCCATTGATGAACAGACTTACCTCACAAGGGCTGATAATATTTGATTTTACCAAAGGGGTAAGTGGAAAATTCTAAGAAGAATCATTTGAACTCATGCATGAGAAGTTCTAGGACAGGTTTCTAGTTGAGTGACTGTGAACATCTGAGAAAAGATTAAGCCATGATCGTTAACACCAGCCAAACTTCCCCTTCATCGCTACAATTGGATGGCCCCAAACAACTTATATCCAGCAAAGCTTTTGGCATTAGTCCTTAGAGACAAGACAGAAACGTGAGCTGGATCATAGGGACTCGGATTGAGACTTGATGGTCTAAATCTCTATGGTGGTGTCTCAAAGCTCCACTGTGACCCTGGGCTGTCTGGCATTGTCTTGAGTTCCTTGCATGGAGGCAGAGGAAGCCACTTTTCACCCTGCAGATGGTTGCTGGCTGGGGTGAAGAGGAGAAAGGGGGCGCCAATACAATGGGTGACTGGAGTAGATTCAAGGCAGCCTTGACAGATTGTAAAGTTGGGTTGAAACCAACAAGATGAAATTCACCAAGGAAGAGTGCTAAATCCTGTGTTTTGGTTCCAAAAAAAATGGTTACATAAGAATAAGACTGGGAATCTGGTTAGATGGAAATTTCTGTTGAAAGAAATAGAGCTGCTGGTGCACACCTGTAATCCCAGTGACTCGGGAAGCTAAGGAAAGAAGATCACAAGTTCAAGGACAGATTCAGCAAATTAGCAAGACCTTGTCTCAAAATAAATAAACAGGGCTGAGGTTGTGGCTCAGTCAGAGAGTGCTTGCCTCACATATGTGAGGCACTGGGTTCTATTCTCTGCACTACATATAAATAAATGAATAAAAGGCCCATCCAGAACTAAAAAATACATATATATTTAAAAATAAATAAAAAGGGTTAGGGATGTAACTCAGTGGTTGAGTGCTTCTAGATTCAATCCCTAATAGTGAAGGGGAAAAAAAAATAGGAGGAGGAAGAGAAGAAGCAAGGAGGGAAGAGAAGGAAAAAAGAGGAGGATGATAAATATCCAGTGGACCTAACCAGGAGGGAAGCCTGCTGTCCTTTGGGGAACAAGGTCTTTGCCTTGAGTATCTAGTCCCCTCCTGGGCACCATATTGTGCAAAAGAGAAGGTGACTAGCCAGTGTCAACCAAGAGAGGTTTTCAGCATCAAGTTAGATGAGGATTTGATGATACAGAGCAGAAGCTGAGTGATGTTGACAGCTGGAAATAATGAACTGAGAGAAAAGAAAGGTTGGCTGGGGCTACTCTTCAAATGTGGGGTGTAATGACTGGCGGAGAAAGAAAAGATCCAGGCTGTCATTGGTGAGGCCAGAGCTAGTGGGACCAACAGATGATTCTCGGAGAAAAAATGCTGGAAGAACATTCTAGCTAGGGTGTCTACCCTGGAATGGGTCTTATCACCTAAGGGAAGGTGAGCCCCCTCCTTTTTCTAGGCCAACCACAGCCCCATTTATTGCACATCTGCTCCTGACAGGTTTGTGCTGGATTCTACATCGTCATTTCATTTAATTGTTACAACAACCCTATCAGGTAGATGATTACAATTCCCATGACAAACAATGACTGAGGACCATAACGCTAAATGAACTTGCAGGTGACAATAAGAGGCTGAGGCTAGATGCGCCCCCAGATCTGAGTAATTCAGAATTTTAGAGAGTCCAACCTGCATAGCACTGAGTGTCTGAGGAGAGAATTGGCAGGGAATTCTTAACACCTTTTTGAGGCAATCATGACCATACCCCTTTGAAAGCAAGCAATAACCATTCCAGTTTTGCACCAAGTTTCACGAACCCCAAGACTCCCTTAATTGGACTCAACACTCAACACTCCCTGGCTGCTCAGATTCTGGAAGGATGGGGTGGGCAGCAGGCGGGCCGTGTTGAGGTGGCGGGCGGAGCCTGGGCCGCAAGGGGGCGG